AAAATTTAAGTTATGAGTACTGTTCAATTAAATCATTTGTTCACTGCAAGGAAGGAATGAAATAATCATTTTTTACCGGAATTCATATTAATTCTTGGAGAGGCATAGTGATGATAACGACAACAATATTTTTAAAATTATTATTATTATTATTATTATTATTATTATTATTATTATTATTATTATTATTATTATTATCATTATTATTGTTATTATTATTATTATTATTATTATTGTTATTATTATTATTATTATGACTATTATTATCGTCATTATTACTATCATTATATTATGTTTATATTGTTATTATTATTATTAATATTATTATTGTTATGATTAATCTAGTGAAAAATTTCATTGTCCTATTTTCATTTATGTATTTCAAAAATTCCAAAATTATTCTGGATATTTCAAATTGAACGATATCCGATATTTATTCATGCATCATATCATTTCTTTCATAATTAGACACTTCATATTAGTGAAAACTTCAAATTCAGCTGAAGAATATTTATTAATAACTTTAGGTAGAAATATTCAATTTATACAAAAAAAAAACAAAAACAAAAACAAAAACAAAAAACCATGATTTCATTTAAGTTACTTATTTCTGATTACGAATTGAAATGAAGTTGAAATCATTATTACATTTTTTTCTCATGAATAATCATTTTGAAGTGCATGTAACTAATATCTGATCAATTGCTGTACATCAAATTAGTAAATCGCATCAACTAATATTTATCAACTTTTTTTTCTTTTTTTTTTGTTTTTCATCCTACAATATCTCTCTGTCTCTTTCTCTTCCTCTTTATCACAAATTTCAAATTTGGTGAGTTAAAAAATTTGCTAAAACTTTTATCCAATGTTAGTTATTACATTTATATTACGATTGGAACAATATTTGATAAATTCTTTCATATATTTTTCAATATAATCGATTTAATAGAATAGTAATGCTAAATTAAATTATTAACATTGATAAATATATTTTCTGCCAAAAAAAGAAAAAACCCAGCATGCTTATTAAGCAAGTTGAAAAAATATTTTAAATGATTTTAAAAAAGAGAAAAACAAAAAAATAATAAAAAATAATGTTATATACTAATTTAATTACTTTTTCGATTTACTTCTTTTAAATGTTATTTTAAATTTTTTTTTTTATGTTAATGACAAATGCACTATCACAAGTAGAAAACGAAAAAAAAAGAACTAGTATATATATATATATACATATATATATATCACTAGCAAAATATCGAATGAGAAAATAAAGCAAAATATGAAACAGAAATAAGTGCTAGCACATTTTTTTTATGATGAAGTTTTAGTGTGAAATTATTTTAAAATTTTATTATAACACCAAGAAAATATAAGGTTATGTTGTTTCTTCTTTCTTTAAATACTATAATAAAGAGGAGCGAGAAATAAAAAAGCTGCAAATTTCATTAATTGCAAACAATTTAAATTAAATGAGAAAGATTAGAAAAGGCAACCTTTTTCGAAAGGTAAAAAAAGACTTTATGGAACAGTACGGATTTGTTTTTCTTTTCTCTCTCTCTCTCTTCTTCGTTCTCCTTATGCTTTCTTTTTTTGTCTTTTATATTCTACCAAAGAATTAAGAATGATACTAATAGTCGATTAATTTGCAAATCAATTAACTTATTCTATTATAATAACAAAAAATAAGTAATAATATCTAAATATTTTCAATAAAAACCAGTTTTTGACTTATTTAATCCTTCTAGTTTTTACATTAAAACGAAGGATTACAAAAATGAAAAAAGAAATAAATTAAAACGATATATTTTCATACCATTTTCCATTCCACTATCCATCAACAAATGATAAGTAATAATAATAGAAAAATAAAGAAAAAAAAAGAAATTGAAAAAAGCATTGGTGTTTTTAATTGCTTAAATATCAAAATTGTTAATTTAAAAAAGTAAAAAGAACATACTTTTATTAATTGCTTCGAAAATATTATTATTTAAAAATTGATGCATTGAAATAATGATATTTGCTCTCTTTCTTTCTCATCCTTTCTCTTCCTCGCTCACTTTTCCATTTATATCGCTTTCTTTTTTTAAAAAAATGTTCACTGAAATTTTAATAATCATCATCAATATCATTATCACTATTATTACCATTATTTATATGCCGAAAACATCGTTATTTTTCCTAATACCAATAACTATTATCATTTCATTATGCTATTCCTCTATCATTCGTTTCTTTTTTCTCTCTAATTAATATTATTTTACTTCAATTTTGTTTGCAAACATCTATTATTGTTTATATGTATGTGTCTGTATGTGGATGTGTGTGTATGTGTGTTGTTTGAGTAAAATTAATAATCATATTTTAATATTATACATTTAAAGCTAATTGAAATATCACCAAATCCACTCTATAATTTTGTGTATTTAAACGAAGAGAAAACTTTAAATTAAATTTGACTGTTATTTGATTACAAGAAATCCTCAATAAAAAAATTACAAAATTTTAGCATTTTTTAAATTAATTATCATACAATATGTATATATCGATGATGGATGAATGGGATTTCTTTTTTTGAGAGAAAGAAAAAAATTGAAACTTTTTGCTAATACTAAAAAAAGATTACAAATTGAAACATGAAATTTTCATTAATTTTGTAAACATTTAATGAATTAAAAAATAATAAAAAAGATTAAAAGTAAATGTTAACATATTTTATATAATGTTATTGATCTTATTTTATTTTAATACATTTTAATAAAGCAAAAAAAAAAGGAAGGAAATTTTTGCAATCAAACAGCTATTATCACTATTAAAGTAACAAACGATATGGTTATTATTTATCGTTCACTTCATAAAATTTCATCGTTGCAATTATTTCAGTCATAAAATCAAAAAAAAAAAAAAAATAAAATAAAGCATTTTGAAATATCTTAAATAAAATGAAAAAGAAAGGAGAAGAGGGAAAAATTCATACAATATCTTAACTAAATTATAATCATTACAAATTTATTTGTATGTTTCCAAAAAAGAAACTAACAAGCATTGATATAATTATTTATAATCAATGTTTACTATTATATTCTTATTAGATGTATAATCGGAAAAAAAAAACGGGAAAATGTCCTATGTAATATTAGTAGTAAACATGTGATAAGAAAAAAAGTGATAAAATATTAATAAATCAATAATAACATCAGGTAATATTTAATAAGCTACTGAAATAGTATAATGAACAATACGTAATGCTGTAGAACAGAAATTTATGAATTTCGAAAATATTTAAATTCAGAAGTAATTTTACTAATTTATCTTTTTATCTTTTATTTCTTCAGAGTCATGAAAGAAATATGTATATTGAATAGTCGTTTACTACTACCTTGTGGCGTCTTTTCTTACCAACATATATATATTAGGAATTCTCGGTTTTTCTTTTCATCTTAATAATAATTATGTTGTAAAATATCTCACTAATCTTTGTCACAAAATTTTACCTGCTTTTATGGGGACAAATTAGTAACTTGAAATGAAATTTGCCCTACTCCAAAGTTTACTATCTATTTGGCGACGCTGAAAACAATTAAAATAAAGTAAAATGTACCTCTGTGAAAATGAAAATTCTGCAATGAATTTTATCCTACTTATCATTTAAATATGTTGCTGACTGCGAAATTCATTAAAATTTATGCGTTAACGAACAGCAAAACAAGAAAAAAAAACAATTAGAAACGAGGAACTTACATTTACAAGAAACTTAACTCCAAAAACAATTTAAAATAAGAGTTAACAAGTCAAGTAGTATTGTACAAGAACCTTAAATAAAAAAAAAAAAAAAAAAAACTATGCTGATCCTTCACTACACTGTTTCCGAGATCATCATTCAATGAAAACCCGAGGCATATTTAAACAGTAAGCCCAACATTATGATTATCATAAAGATGTTGGCAGGATTTATATACCTTCTTCTTTAAGCTGCAAATCTTGAATCAACTAAATTCAGGATAGATGAATGAATCGTTTTAAATCTAACAGGTACTATAGCTTTCCCTACATATATGGCTTAACAGCCCAATACCACACCAAACACTATAGCACAGAAAGTACATTCACTGAAATCAATTCCATGCTTAAAAAACAGAAATTCCTTTCCTTAACAGAAAAAATGAACTCCCATCAAAATGTGCAATTATTTTTACCGTTCATATAAATTTGCTCTAAACTCAATCTCTACAAATCTTTTCTCAAAAAAATGCAATTATTTTTTATTTGAATATATATTTCCGAGTTTTTTTTTTTTTTTTTAAAAAAAGATGAATACTACATGAGCAGATGACAAAGGTCAACAGATCAAATCGCACTTCTTATTCCATTTAAGTATGTGAGAGATAGCGTGACGGAAAGAAAGAGATCAAGGGTTAATGCTGATTTCTAGAATTATTGAAAGTTTAAAATAAATGTTATAAACATTAGATTAGCAAATTCGTTTAACTATCCAGATGTAACTCTCTTAACTAACATTAGTATAGCACGAACAAGGGTATAGAAATAGTTCATAAATGAAACAATTCATAAATGAAATGCGTTTAACGCAAGCATTCACACATGCACATACTATGGATTGGTCCAGTTTTTGGAAAATTCGTTCAAAGATGCACTAAAATAGGAAAAGCAATTACAGATATAGTGAAAGTGATGTTATTGAATCAGCTGCTAGTTCGGTAATGTGAAGGGGAAAAAATGTTTGGAAACAAAGATTATGAATAGGAACCTGTGTCACATAAAACTTAGGTTTTCTCCTTTTTGCGCTTTTAGTAAAAGAAAAAAACCTCTAAACTTCATGAATTTCAATTTTATCGACCTCTCAATCAACCTTACAATTTTCTGGAAAAATATTACAGAAAGAAAAAAAAGAAAAAAAAAACAACAATCTCTCATTTAAAGAATAGTAATAACAATTCAAAAACACTCAAAATATTTCAAATCCGTTTTGTGAAGATCTGTCAGTCGGCTCGCTTCTCATAAAATTTCAGCGTCGAAACATTTGAGAATAAATTTCCCAGTGTCCCTTTCTCTTTTTTGTAATTTTCACAGGCTTTTCGAACATCGTATAAGCTCTTCCGTACTTTTGGACAAATCAAAACCTGCAAAGGAATATGTAAATACAAAAGCCTCGAACGCAGTTTCAAATTCCATTCCACCGGAACAGTGCACTTCGAATTGTCTCTATGGAATGGAAAAAAATAGAACCAAAACCAAGCATTTCTTACTGTCATGTAATCGAAAAAACTTGTCGAATTTCAAAATGGCTAGTTAAATACAAACATTACTGCATAAATTTCATTCCACGGAACGCAGAAACTAAATTACTGAACTGAACATCAAATACAAGCTGCCACTTCGTTCCTACAAAATTTTATTCTCCTAATAAGCATTTCTATCCAAAGAAGACATACCTGATTTATGTCTTCCTGGCTGGAATGACTGCAATAATAGGAAAAAATCGACAAAACACGGTCTTTAATTTGCTCAGCAACACTATCGTTTCGAGTTACTAGATTTAAAGCCAATACTCCTGGAAATCAGGCAAACAAAGTAGCAATCAAATGATAAAGAATCGGATCTCTTACATATTATAGAACAATTTGTTAATTTTCCGACTTACTAGATTATTACTTGCCAGCAGTTTGCGTAGAAATTTTATTTTAATACTCCATATCACCATAAATGGAATAATTCTTTGTATATCTACATTGTTGCGATGCAATCATTAACTACGGTTTTTATGCTGTTAATTAGCAGAAAAGTTGAAACAACATAAGCGATAAACAAATGAAATATGAAACACGAAGGAAATAACTGCAATATATTTCTATGAAACATACTGATTATCTTCACTCTATTCAATATTTTACTTGTATTCATTATTAATTTCCTGTTACCGTATTTATTGCTGTGCTTGTTCAGTTTGTACATTGTTACCAACTAGACGTCTAGTTTCATCTGTAGGTTTTATATGCAGAAAAAGAATATTGTGCATGATGATCTTGCAAACAACATAAGCAAAAAAAGTTCTGAACATGTATAATTTCGGTTGAAAATTGAAAAAACGATTGAGACCTATTAAGAATAGCAACAGATAAGTCAGCTGAAATAAAATTTGAAAATGATTCAAATAATATTCATAAAAATAAGATTTCCATAAACCACTGAACAATATAGTAATATGTCTTACCTCTTGCACAAAGTGCAGCATACATATTATTGAGAGCTTTCTCTGTTACAAACGACGGTAATGGACAACTCAATCCATCTTCGTGAATGCTTCCAGCCACATCAATGAATATGACATCGAACAAGCGTGACTCATCTAAAATTTTGATATATCTTAAGCTTAAGAAAATATCGATAAGATTCTCATTTATTCATTAATTAAACATGTTGAAACTACTCAATTTCTGAATGACTACCTACCATTCTGCTGCACCAGTTCTTCAATATATGTAAGAGCATCCTTGATCACAACGGTCAAACGCGAGTCACTATTGAAAGAAAACCAGTACTTTGCAATTTCCGCCACCTTCGGATCTAATTCCACAGATACGATAAACATCTAAATGTTACTTTATGGTAATTGACACTTCAACTTAAATATAAATTTAGATATAATCTAGGTTTAGACTTACTGACGGAAATTTGATGTGCAGAAAGGAGGGCAGAACACCACCACCTAATCCAAGAACAAGTAATCTGAAATTATTAATATTGTGTGGTTAATTTCATTATGAAATTAATACTCGTAAATACGTAAGCTATTAAAAGAGTACAGTGAACGAACAACAGCATAACCATACCGTAATTTAGTTGCATGGTTCAATTTTTCACCAGGACGTAACATAAAAGGTAGTGCTGCCAACATCGCCTCATGATATTCCGAGGTTAATGTATGCAAATCCACAATTTCGACACCTCTTCTGTTCCCTGCACAGTAACATCAATGAAATCAAATTATTAAAAAAAACCACAAATGATAGTTTCTGTAACGTAGCTTCTAACAGAATAACGATAAATACTGTCCTGTTTGTCCTGAACATACTTTCTCCTTGAAAGAATGGTTTCCCTACTTACTTGTATGATGAATAAATAACTGTTGGGTGATCTACTTATGTGAAGAAAAAAACAACTTTCCAATACTCTGCACCGTATACCTCTCACCATACTGAAATATGAAATTAAATTAGAGATCCCAAAACTGTACAGTTCATAAGATATTCGACATCAAGTATATTTCCTAATTAAGGTCCCATATCCAAGTTTATATTTTCACTGCGAATAAGTATCTTATTTTAAAAGTAAAACTTACGAATCAATTTAACTTCAGACTGTACTAGATTTTGGGCAGACAAAAAAACAAGTCTTCGATATATGGAACTTTGTATGCGGACATCTTCCACTGCCCATGGACCGTTGACATCGGAATTTCCTGTGGCACGAGTTTCTTTAACGTCAATTTTTCCAAGAGAAAGAAATTCTACCACCGACTTCTGCTGAAATAAAATATTTTATGTTTATCTGAAATACAAAATACAATATAAGTTATAAAATTTAGTAATCAAAATTAAATATAATAAATGTAAATACAATATAAGTTATAAAATTTAGTAATCAAAATTAAATATAATAAATGTAAAGCCTCAACTGCTTGAAGCATGGATGATGGAGTAAGCTGAATTACATATGGACCCAATTCATCTTTAACCTGCTCCATACTTTCATATTTTTGCTCACGATAAAGTGTAGCAACTGCCAACCGATCTTTATCACATTGTTTGCGAAGTGATGAACGGCCTCTTTCAGTAGCGAAAAACCAGTCGCGATCTCTAAAATACAGAGATTTAATTTTGAGAATTATTTTATGATGTATATATATATATATACTGACTGCTCAGAAAGTAAAGCAAAAAGTGCCAATTATAGCAATAATTTTTATATCTAAAACAACCTGCCAACCGGGACGATGAAGACAGCGAAGGAACATAATTCACTGACTTTCGGGTCGTCAAGAACTGCAATCCGATATCGTGGTCTCTCATCGCTATCATGCAGTATCAAATTTACTTCATGTTCCAATTTTCTGAAAGATTTTTAGAAATATACAATTTGTGCAAAACTGGGAAATATTAAATGCATTATGTTCACTCTAACATCATAATCCACAATAAAATTCCTGTACGCATCACAAGCTGAAAATGCAAAACTTCCTGTCATTGAAAAAATAAGATTCTCTTGCTTAAAATTACATCTGAAATTTTTATGCCAAATAATTTATACTTGGAACACATATGGCGAAATCTCGAGAATTCCTGCTCCGCATTTATCGCACTAATCAAGTTTTCCAAAGAGGAGAATTTAACCGATTTCTTTTCCAGTGAAAGTATTAACTCCATGTACTGCAAGTATAGAGACTGATATTTACCATGCTATCAACATTAAAACTTCATATCTGTCCTATATTAATTTCAACAGAATGGTCCAAACAAATCACCAATTCCTGTTGTTATACTGTGAGGAGAACTAATAAGACGACCAACACTATTGATTGCTGCTTGAGAAACAACCGTAAAATATATGTGGTAAAGAACTTATAGTGCTATTAGGTTGAACCATTTTTGGTTAATTCATTATTCATTATCCATTCAGATTATCGGTTGTCTCATCAGAAAGACAAGAAACAACAGAAAATTTTTAATTATAATTAACATTCAAAGGCCATCAAATTGATATGAACTGATCTAGACTTTATTCAGAGCAAAGTTATAAAAAAAAAATTCACTGGTGAAGCAAGAGAAACACGAAGTTTCGTCGCGATAAGCAAAAATATTGGCAGAGGAAACTCCCAATTAGCATCAGTATTCTTTTCAACCCGTATAATGAAGTCCTTCCTATAAATTCGCATTATTCATATTTGTAAAGAAAAGAAATATGCCATTATAGTCATTAATCTCAGTTAAAATACATGTTCATATTTATGTTCGAAACAGTGATGTTGATCTCAGAAGAATTCCAAATGATATTCGATTTTTTTCATTGTTTCATCCCATTTCTACGTTCTTTTTCTCTTGTGCAAACCAGTGTTTTTATTGAGAGGGAGAAGGATGAACACAAGAAAATAATCCTCAATGAAACTTAAAATTGTATTTCAAAATTTTCGTTGTAACTTCTATTCTAATCCTAAATTTAACCAAATTTTCTTCCCAACACAAGAACGATGAAACTAACCGTTCCAGAAAAAATGGCATATATGAATTGAGCACGTGTTTTTGAGCAAGCGTAAGCACAACATATCGACCTCCGACCGCAAGCACCCGGCATACTTCAGCATACATTTTTTCTACGTCTTCCATTTTCTCCACTATGTCCTCATTTGCGGATGGAATTAATGCATCTAACGTCCCCTTGTCTAAGACAACGTTGTATTTTTCGTCTGGCGCTTCAATCTTAAAAATTCCGAACAGATCAAGTTAAAAACAGGCAAACGATACAAGAAGCTGATTTGCTAGGCTTCACTGCAATTAAGTTAACATACTATAAAATCTATTCACAATAAAATCTGAAACGCTAAACATTTAATTGTTTAAGAAGGTTTCTGGGAACTTTAATCAGGAATGATTGCAAACTGCTAAGTGTGTAATTGCCGGAGCAAAAAAAGTTACTTTTGTTGCCGAACAACATATAAACTGTAATTCCGGTCTTGATGAACAATTCTTGGCTATTTGTTTTCGGATGATTCCTTCATCAATGTCGATACTATCAATTACTTGATAACCACCATCGTAAAGCTATAAAACAAGAAAATATAGATAAACATGTGACGGAAGCACAATTGGTCAGAAGTTCATTATATCAGTTTTAAAAAGCGATATCTCCACTACTACAAACACTAAATGGAAAGGAAAGAAACGCAGATTATCAAAACTCCAAAAGACTATATTATAGTGCAGGAAAGTATGTAACGAAATGGTTTCATGACAATATAAAATCTTTCCGTCCCCTTATCAATCAAAAAGAAGTCGAATCCGTGGTTCAAGCTGTTCTGCAGTTTTTAACGATCAAATCGATTTTGCAAAGAAACAACATTCCAAATAAAAATTGAAAAAAGTTCAGAAATCTGACAACTCCAGGAATACCTGATCCGCTAATTCTGAACTGCCGCATCCAATTTGTAGAATTTTATCAGTTGTTTTCAAATATTTGGTCAAGACACACCCAAAATTCTTCAAATCACCGTACCTGAAAAATTATGAACATTATCTCAATCTTAAATCATAACAACATATGCTCAGAGAAACAAGTAATGCAACAAAATTCATGACCTGACCATTCAAACGCATCTCCGGCATCTTTGTAAAATTCTTTCCAGAATGATGGATCTTGAAAATCGCTTGCACTATTGGGAAAAGTAGACATAACGCTTTGAATATTAACGCTCTTATCCTGGAAGTTATTGCTTCATCTTGCGGAAAAAAAACACTGGAAAACTTCGACAGCAACTTGTTCTCAAACCCGTTCGAATGTGTCCACAAATAGGTTCGGTGGATTTGAAATGGTTATTCTTGTGTTAGTCGTACTTTAGATTGTAGGCAATGCGTTAGTCGCTGTAACCAATTCATTCCAAGCCTACTTCTTTACATAACCTTAACTGTATCATTGCAATCTTATTCGTATTATTTATGTGGTCATAGAAAGCCCCTTATGCAACTTTACATTATCTTACATATATCATTTACGTAACCTTACTTATTTCATGCATAATTTATGCAACCTTATTTGTATAATTTACGTTACTATATCCCACTTACGTATCTCCACATATGTCATTCATACAACCTTATTTGTGTTATTTACACAACTATGCAGATTTTGACTGCGCGCATGAATATACGGTCATCCTGGCACTCAAGATCTTATCAAACGTAATCACGCAACCTCACTTCCATCGTCTACACGACGTTACAAATCCCACTCACACAGTTTTACGTAGTTTACATAACCTACAAATTCCACCCACGCAATCCTAATACCTCGCGTAAGAAGCGAGCATATAGGCTCGTTGACACCATACAGGTCATGCTTACACGTGAAATTCTACAAACTCCACTCACGCAGCCCTACAAACCCCGCCACGTAACCTACAAACCCGACCACGCAACCAAACTCCACCACGCAACCTACCAACCCCACTCACCCAACCTTTCATATCTCGCTTGGAGCGCGAGCATACAATTCTCGCTGAGACGCACGGCAACACGCTCTCGCATACAGTATCCTACGAAATCCACCATACAACCTTAATACCTCGCGTGAGGCGTGAAAATACAAATCTCGCTGAGACTCGCGGCAGTACGAATCTCCGTCCTCTCTAAGATTCGCGATCTCTCTCGCATGCGATATCCTACAAAATCTACCCTTAATACCTCGCGTGAGACGTGAAAATACAAGTCTCGCTGACACGTGTGACCATACAGGTCCTTCGCACGTGAAATATTGTCAGTTGCTGCGATGCACATCTCCTATATCTATTCTAATAATAATAATGAATAACAATAATAATAACAGTAACAGCAAGAATATTAATCATAACAATAACAACAGTAATAATACCAAATAATGATAATGATCAATAATTAATAATGAATGGCAGTAGTAATATATCATATTATTTGCACTTTAATTAATCTTTCTCCTAACATACTACATCTACTTCTCGGTTACACCGATCGCTAATGAAAGTTTATGCAGAATCTGAAAGACAGTCTGAAATTTGCGGTTAAGATTTGAAGTCAGATTAGGGGCAGCATATCCAGAAATTAATAAGAATTCTTTTGATCTTCAACCATTAATATCTTTATATCTATAATCCTGTAAAACTATTTCAAGTTAATGTTTTTCTTTAAGTTTATTTTTATGATTTATCTAGCAAATCGTATTTGCATTTGTTTGCGAACATAACTATATGATTCTTGTATGTTATTTTGGGAAATTGTTTTTTTATTATTATGATTAGTTAAGTATTTTGAACTTAAATTACTTTTTTAATATTTTTTTTTCCATTTCTGTCATTTTTGTCCATAAATAAACGCTGGAAAATTTACAGAATGTTGACATATCGTCCATTGATAACTATGTTGACGTTTTGCGATGCTAATACTGATAGAATCTATAATGTGCAAATGATAATAATAATAGTTAAGGTTTTTTTTTTTTTTTTTTTTTTTTTTTTTTTTTCAGCAAAGAATGCACGATGAGATGATTTTGAACAAATTTGCAGCAAAACTATTATTGACGTCATTTACCAGCATGTAAAGGAACACGTCATTTACCAGCATGTAAAGGAATATGGATAAATTATTTATGTTAAGAAAATAGAGAAATAATATGAATTAAATTATAAACACACATGTGTTTATCTTTCTTGCTCATGTATCAGCATTTATGCCAAATATGACTTTTTTTTTTATGTCATAGAAAATACGAAATTGATGAAACAATAGGTGTATAAAGAGTTTTTTCATTTTCAGATTTAATAAGAAGAAGAAAGCACTGATCGAACTTAAAGTGAAAGGAAATGCTTCGTTTTAATTGGCTAAGACGGATTTCATTTGTGCTAATTTTGCTCATTTTTTTTTGGATAATTATTAGAAGCATAAATTTGTCCAATTATGGAAATAGTAAGTTCGTTATTTATTTCTCTACCTATTATATATGTATATCGTTGTATATTTTTCAAAGGATAAGAACCTCTATATCATTTTCCATTACTATTAAGCTCATTGAGACCTCATATGAAATCATCTGGGCAGCTGACCTTATGCTATCCAAAAATGCATAATTGGAATTACTTGACCAGCCTGCAACAATAATGCCATATATCTCTAGAGAGAATATAGCTAACACATAGAGTACTCCTATATAGGAAGTATTTTTATCATTTGTATGGGGAGTATTTTTTTTTATAGATTGGACTCAGTTGCGAACAAATATTGTTCCACCTAAAACTGGTGGTACGTTTACTTCAATTTTTATCATTTCAATTTCTGATGGTTTTGTGCAGTCATTAAAAGTATCCATAAATTACTTCCAGAATGCTAATGGTATGAATTTGGTCCTTCTGGTGAAGTGAGACTTCTAGTTTGAAGCATTCATGTAAACCTTTAATTAATGTTGTAGATAGTGAATGCGTGAGAAAAGCTTATTGTCCAAATGACGAGGTGACAATTCTAGTGAGACCGGAAAGCCGAACGAAACCACCATTGCTATGTTTAAATAATAAAAAGTTCTTAATTTTCAAGCTATTCCAGTTTTAATTAGTTTATTACTTGCTGAACAAAAAAAGAGAGAAAAAGTGTAGAATTTTACCTCCGTATAATAATATTAATTCTTTCTGGCGCGGAGAAATTCTCTATTACCTGAAGTTTTTTTATTTTTCTTCGTTAATATAAAAAGAAAACTCGGTGCTGGTTTTATTTTTCAGATTATTCGACAGTTCGAAATTGGTTAGAGGATTGAATATCGCTATTTTAAACAGTAAATTTTATTTAACTCATTTTTGCCTTTTTTTTTGTTTCGCTTTTTTTTTTCTTGACTTATTATGCATTCATTTAGATTTGTCATCTAGTGGAAAATGATATGTGAATAAGGTATCAGGTTTCAATTTCATATTTTGTGTTGTATTTTCTAGTATGTTAAAAACTTTTTCCAACTAATTCATAATGATCGGTACTAATCCATAATAATCAGTAGCAACATTCTATCCTATTTATTACTATGTACAAAATTTTGTACTTCCACTAAGTGATTTTTCCTGAATTGAAATAGATAGTTCAGAATTATTTGCTATTAGAAGAATATTTTAAAAAAAAAAAAAACCTTTTATATTATAGGTGACAAAAGCATTGTCGGTGTACATTATTTAAGCATTCAAGACAGTGATTTTTCTCTTATAAGGTTGTTAGCGCAAGTGCATTATTCTGAAATTATTGTGGGAACTTCATATGGTGACGTTTCATCAAAGTATGTTTTTTTTTTTTTTTATTTTTCGTTTTTCCAATACAGTTAATAATTTAGTTATTAGCTCTTATCAGAATTCTTCGAATACATCAGTGTATGTGTGTGTAACTAGAAACCTTCAGAATGATTGCAACTTAGTCATTTACAGGTTTAGAAGAAAGATTACATGATGTCATTTGTCAAGTTATATTTTTATTAATGTATTTATTACCATAATCCGGATTAATTCATTGTCTCTCTCATACTTAGATGACCTTCCTTATAATAAGATTATATACGTTCAGATTTTTGCAGGAGAAATTTTTTTGTCCTACTTTTTGTTTTTTGAAAATTGCTCATGCAATCACTTTTTTTTCTTTCTGGACAATGATGACTCTATAAACAATTCAGGGTATCAGCTGAAACACGACATTTGTTGCGTTTGTTTGGTTTATCACTTGCGCAGTATAAAACAGAGACCAGCTTACTTTTCGTTGGGCAGTTAGGTCTGTCGGTTCCAGCAGCTTTTGAAAAGGTTGTTGCTCTAATTGCTGTTGTTCTTTGGTTGAACACGAATTTTTTTATTAACTTTTTGAGATTACGATAAAACTCCATCGAACGTTCATTTTTTTTTCTTAATTTTTCCTTGTATTTTTTTTTTAAAGGTTGTTTCACTGGAAATAGTAGAGCCGAAATATTATGTCAGATGTTTGAAGGCACCAAGTATGTTACACTTCTCTCGTTTTTATATCAGTTATCTTTATGGCTACTTAATGTGAAAAAAATTCAGCTGGATTATTGAAAGTTTCCAGATTCTATCGTCTGCATTTAAAACCAGTTATCATTTAAAGAAAATTGTTGTAAGATTTGAAGTGTGTAGTTCCTTATTTTTTTACATTCATTGTTATTCTTTCATTCGTAGGTTATACATCATGGCAAGGTGAAATCCTACTCACTGCATTGCGTGAATTGTTCTTACAGCATTTTTTAAAGTTTATATTCCTATTTTTACTTGTAAAAATTTGTATATTTATAGTGGGAGAGCAATCAAATGTTACGATACGAGTACCTGAAGTGCACCACATTGATGAGCATATTGTCGCTCAGTTATCAGCTGTAAAAGGACAAGAAATGAACGTGAAATTTGGTGTAGAATTACCGAACTGTGGTCATCCAGAGAAATGTCCTGAAGGTTCCATCATTTCTTTCAGTTAAAAGTTCATTTCTGTTACGAAACATTTGTTGAGTATATTTGGATAAGTATAGGCACTGATTTCAGTTTGAATATAAGTAGTCTGGTAGTGAATCGATTTTTAGATGAAATTCCGATGCTTTTTTATTCGGGAAAGGACAAAGATGATTCTCCTCGGTTGTGTGTAAATGGAAGATTGTAAGTGTTTAGTATTTTTGATTGGAATTTT